GCTAAGTGCTATTACAAAAATTTAAAAGTTTATAAGTAAAATTATAACAACCTAAGGTTTATTTATTATTGAAGAAATAAAAAAAATGTTTATATAAACTTAGTGTAGCCTGACAGTGCAGTGTTTACAAAGTCTACAGCAGTGTGCAGGAACCTCCACGGCCTTCACATGCACTTGCCACTCACTGACTCACCCAGGCCAACTCCGGTCCTGCAAGCTCCATTTGTGGTAAGTGCCTCAAACAGGTGTACCATTTTATCTTTCATACCATATTTTTACTGTACCTTTTCTCTTTAGATATGTTTAGATGCACGGATACTTACCCTTGTGTCACAGCTGCCAGTGGGATCCAGTACAGTTAACAGCTGTGGAAGTTTGTAGCCTTGGTGCTGTAGGCTGTACTATGCAGCCCAGGTGCAGGCTATACCACCTAGGTTGGTGTGAGATTGCTCTGTGACGTTTGCACGATGACACAGTTGCCTGATGATGCATTTATCAAAACATATCCCGGTTGCAAATGACACAATACTGTAATTGGAAATCAGTAGTGAAAAGATGACTTTTTTTTTTAAGTTGTCTTTATTGGAAGTTAAAGAAGACCAAAAGACCACAATAAATGGAGAGATACCATATTCATGGATAGAAATACTAAGTTTTCTAAAGATGTCAGTTATTTCTAAATTGATATACAAATGCAATATAATTCCAGTCAAAATCCCAGCAGATTTTTTGAGGAACAAATGCTATTTTAAATTTTTTATGGAAGCGCATAAGCCAAGATCAAAACACCCATCAGTGAGGAGAAGGTGTGGTAGGGCAGTCTGTTCCAGTGGATGCAAAGACATACGCTGTGGTTGGAGTAATTGAGGAGAGACGAGGAGACCACTGGGTCAGACCAGAGAGCCCAGGATCCGACCCAGCCTGTGACGGCCTCAGTGAGGGCACAGAAGGGAATGGATGGTCCATACATGATGCCCAGACGTGGTCATCCACACGGAGAAGTGGATCGTTACTGAAAGACATAAACAAAAACATTTCTTATGTATTAAGAACTTCACGAGAGAAAAAGCACTTTTAAAAGACAATATATGAGAATGTGCTTCTGTTCTCAGGTCAGGGAAGGATTTCTTAAACAAAACATAAACACAAGCCATAAAGGGGAATATTAATGAATTTGATTGCATTAAAATTTGGAATTCTGTTTCTCTAAAGAAACCTTAAGGAGAGTGGGGAGCAGATCTGTGCAGTGTGTATAACTGAGGCAGGATTAGTGTCTGAAATGCCTGAGGATTTATGAAATCAGCAAAAAGCAACCCATTGAGAAAAACGGGCAAAAGACAGAGATAGGCGTTTCCTGGGAGAAGAAGTATGAATACACTGAAACCTGGCAGCCAGCTCCTGACCTGGGTGGCCGTAGCAGGGCATGTTCACTTGGCACAGATGCACTGCATGGCGGTGGACTCGCCAGTTCTTACAGTCTCAGTATTTGCTCTTTATTCTGATTTTATTCTGATACAATGTTAGGTGGAAAAGACAAGTTAAAGAGAAACATCTGTCAATCTGTCATGTGATACGTCCCATCCCCACTTCTCCTCCCCGCCCCCTCCCTCCTTTTTACCTGCCCTCTCAATGATTTGGAGACACTATTGAGAACCAAAAGCTTGATTTTTTTTAAATGGCAGAATTATCTCAAAAAGTAGACAGCCCCTTCATACTTAGTCCTGTTTCCTCCTTTAAAAATGTGGGAATTGAGTCCCAAAGAGGTGGAGTGGCCTGGCCAAGTGTGGGTGGAGCCAAGATGGGACCCCGGGGCCCCTCCCCGGCACTCACAGGCATGACTTTGCTGGCCCTGCCCTCCTGGTGCGTCACCATGGCGTGTGGTGGAGAGGGGAGGGGAGAGAGTTATTTGATAGTGTGGCTGTTCCTTCGTGAAAAGCAGGAAATGTGTTGAGGCAAGAGGGGTTAAAGTTGCAGAATCTCTGACCTTCTGGACAGTCTCCGGGTTTCACCTGCACCGTCCAGTGGGTTCTGTGCCTGGGGGGGGGGGCATGGGGGAGGAACCAGAACATGGGATGGGGTCACCAGCCGAGTCGCGTGTGGACAGTGTGCCACTCACTGCCGTGGGTGCCGCCTGCAGATTGGGGAGCCAGGCCCCACGAGATGGGGCGACTCGTCTCCACATGGTGGGTCAGTGTCAGAGCCGACTCTGCCCAGGTCCCTGGCCTTGGGAACCAGGCATGGCCCAGTCCTATCCCCAGTTGTGACCAGGACAAGGCTGTGCTGTCTTGGGGTGTGCAGGGACAGACCAGAGAGGGCCCTGTCCTCCATCCTCTGTCCTCATGGGGTACACGGCCGGTTTGGCTAGTGGACACGTGAGCACATGCCCGGCACCAGCCCCGCTGCAGTTGAGTAGTGGGTGAGAGCAGAGACAATGCTGTCAACAGCCACACGGGCCACCTCCCTGAGGCTCACTGCTGCATGCTCCGGCCGTGACCCTCCACCCTGAGCCAAGCCTCACTGGCCCTTGCTCTTCCCTGATGTCCTTTGAGAGTGCTGACTCCATCCTGGGGGGTTGCAGTTGGTGTCTTCTTTGTCAGACTCTTCCCTGTGGGTTTGGCCCCTTCAGACACCCCTCAGGTGACTCGGGGTGACTGGGCATGTGCGTGCGTCCTTTGTGCTGTGCTGTCACAGTCAGGCTCCAGGGCTACCTAGAGGTTGCAGGGGCAGGGGAAGTTGTGCCATTCAGCCGCAGGTGGCTGAGGGCCAAGTACCCAGGAGGCAGGTGCCTGGTCCACCACGGACAGTCTCGCCTGAGACGTAGTGGGTGGGGTGCCTGCCCTTTCCATGGCTGCCTAAGTCCAGGCGGGAGACTTCACTAGGATTCCTGAGCTCACCTGCTTCCAAGCAGAGCAGGGTCTCCAGCACCTCGGGCTGCGTCTCGCCTGGAGATGCAAAACTGTCGCTGCAGCTGGAGTCCTGGGGCAGTGTCTCTGGGTAGACTCTGCTGGCACCTTGGTGGAGACTCCAGTTCTCGTCTCTTCAGGCGTGCCCATGACCGTGCCCACGAGGGTTTGGTCCAGGCGGGCTGAGGGGCCGCCCACACCAGAACCAGCACCGTCCGCCTGGGGCAGTCACCGGTGCTGTGTGGGGCAGACAGTCACGTCGGCCCCCCGGGCTCTGCTGTGGCCTTGACAGTTGCCACCTCTTCAGGGACTCAGAAAGCTGAGTGTGACCCCAAGTCTCCATGTGCCCTCACTGGGGCTCCTCGCACCCCCAGCCAGGACAGCTGCAGCCAGGCATCCCCCAGAGCAGGCCCAGCCCAAGTCCTCAGATCAGGGCACAGCCAAGAAGGTGGAAGAGGCTGGGGCTGGTGAGACGCGCCCATGTCAGTCAGGGCTCGCCAGATGTGCCTGGCAGGCAGGTACTCCAGGTGCCAGGCCAGACGCACGGTGTCTGTCAGCTTGCTGCGGCAACAAGCACCCCGCTCTCACAGTTCACGCACATGCACCAAAGGTTCTGTCTGGATGGTGTGACGGAAGGCCACAGGCTCACCACGGGATCTGCGCAACCTCTCTGCCAGGACCCGGCCGTGGAATCGGGAGGCCGGGCTGACCCGCCGGTGCCCCAGAGCCCTGTTGCCGCAGGCCTGCCCCCACCCCTGGCTGCAAGGCTTTCAGGGAGGCCCAGGCAGGGGAGCAGCCCCTCGACCCTGCTGCTGGGACAGGAAGGGGCCACACTCTCAGGGAAGTTGCCCTGCTCCTGGGAGGCCCACACAGAACCCATGAGGCTCAGCTGCGAGGTGCCGCCTCAAGGCACAGCCCCTTGGGGCCACAGGGCCGGCGTGGAGGGGTCTGAGCAGACGCTGGGAAGCTAGCCCCTCTTACTGGGGACAACAGCTCTGCTGCCCAGGTATCCCCAGCCCTAGCCGTGGTGGCTGTGGTGGCCTCTCACAGCACCCCGTCTTGTCACCTACCTGGCTGTGGGGAGGGTGCCAGTCTGGGACCAGCTCAGAGCACAAGCAGCCGTGCAGCATTGTGTTTGGGTCGGGAGGCAGGTACCTCTCCCACAACGTGCAGCCTCCCGGCTTGGGTGGTCCTGAGACCCAGCACGCACCATGGCGCCCTGGCCCACAGCGCCCTCTGCGGAGCAGCCCAGACTCCAGAGAGTGGGCGGCTTCCAGGCGTGCAGTCTGCTCCCTTTGCTCCCGAGATGTGCCTTCGTCTCGCCACATTTACCTTTATCTTCTGCTATTTTTAGTTTTTATTTAAGAAATGAGGCTAAGAAAAGATAACTAAAGAACCTGCGTCAAAACTCCCCTTGGGAAGCGTGTGGCGTGGGTTGGGAGGTGGGACGGGTGCAGCCTGTGGGTGCCAGGGCCACAGCCACAGGTGGCCTCCAGACCAGTGCTCCACGACCCTCATGCCTCCGCAACCCTCCCAGTGCCAACGGTCTGCAGTCCCGGGGAAACGAGACGCTCCCTGGAGGGCAGGTGCGTGGGTCCTGGGCACCCCCAGATCCCCCTGAGTAAAGCCAGGCTCTTGGGAGAGGGATGCCGAGCTTCACTCAGGGTGGGGACCAGGGCAAGGGCTGCGCAGTGCTGCGAACCCTCTGTGGACCCTACAGGGGACAGCACCCATTTCGTGAGTAGTGACTTGACTTTGAGTCTCTCAGAAGCCCTGCTGGCCTTGTTCTGTGGCTCAGAGCCTCCGAGGGCCACTGGCCTTGGCCAGCCTCCGTCCGCCCGGCCTGGTGCGAGAGGCATGGCTGGTCTGGGTGGAGCTGCCCGGGAGCCAAGGAGGGAGCATAGCTGCTCCTGGCGCTGCACAGCTGGCAAGGCGGGCCCCATTGGCTTCTCCCAGGCCAAGTCCTTGAGTCTGCCGCGTCTGCCATGTGTCCGCATGGCTCTATCTGTGCAAAGTTCTGTTACTGCCGTTTTGATTTGGTGTGACTTGTACTCGATGACAATAACCTTCTTAGCTCTCGTGTCCCTCCTACCCCAGCAGTTGACCAAGCTCCACCAGTTGGCCATGCAGCAAACCCCCTTTCCTCCCCTCGGACAGACCAACCCCGCTTTCCCCGGTACGTACCCAGCCCTTTTCTGACCTTCTCTTCTCACCTGGGGACTGTCTCTGAACTGTTTGCTCAGTGCAGTGCGTAGAGCAGATGCAGCTGGAGCCTGAGTGTCGCTGGTGCAGGGCCGACAGCAGTGGGCTGCTCAGGGCCGGGCGGGGGAGGTCAGTCTGTGTGTCCCCCACTGCGGCTAGCGTAACTCACAGTTGGCCTTGCCACGTCCTCGCTTCTGGAGAGACGTCTGCCCTCCAAGGTCTGTGCCTGCCAGGCAGCACTCTGTGCTGCTACAGGGGGCTACCTGCTGGAGGCATCCACTTGCCTGGCCCTGGCGCGTTTCATCCAGGGGGAAGTGTGCAGGCGAGCAGGTGCGGTACCTCTCTGCAGGAAGCCACTGCATGTCCCAGGTGGCGCCCACCAGGACGGCCCTGCCCTGCCCACCTCGGGAAGCAGGGACCCCCGCCCGTCCCAGCCCAGGCACTGTGGCAGGGCAGGCGGAGTCGCTGGGCACAGCTGAGCTGGCTGCGGCGGGCAGCTGGGTGTCCCTCCCCAGAGAAGCAGGGGCAGAGCCACGCCTGTGGCCGTGGCTGAGTGGGCCACCAGACATGGCTTAGCTGTGCCTGCGCCAGTCATATTTTGAGCTTCCCTAGTTGAAGGGACCGTGCTTATCTCCTTGAGGGCAAAACATTAAACCTGTCTCTTTTTTGCTCTCCAGGAGAAAAGCTGCCTTTACACTCCTCCGAAGAAGCTCAAAATCTGATGGGCCAGTCATCAGGTAAACAGCCCACTGGGGGAGCAGGCACAGGCCCCGCTCTGCGGTCCTACAGCACCCACGTCCGAGTGCAGTCAGCAGCTTCCGGTGGCCATGGCCGTGGCCCAGCCTTGGCCGGGGCCACATCTGAGGGGGCTCAGCACAGCACCTGGTCGCGGTAGGGTCCGTCAGGGTGCACCCGTGGTCTGTAGGAGCAGGTATTGGAGAACTTACCATGGTCTGCGCTGTAAAAATACATTTCGTAGGAGACACGAGCAAACCCTTAAGGGAAAAGACTTGTGTGTGCTGTGCTCTCTGCAGCCCTTTTGATTTCCATGAAAATGTTTGTTCTTGGATGGCATGGGGTGGCCTACGGATCTGTAGATCCATCTGTCTGGAGCATTTAGATGGTGAAGCTGGGGACCTGGCGTGTCCCTGGGTACCTTAAGGAAGATGCCACACACTCTCCAATGCCCGGGCCTCCGGGCCCATGGCCCCCCAGCTGCCAGGGCGTTGCCGTGTGCCAACCCTCCCCTCCCCAAGGCCCCCAGGACCCGCTGTGCACACACACTCTGGCCACCACAGGGTGAAATCAGGTGGGGTGATGAGAAGCGTCTGATGATGGCAGTCCTGGGGACTGACGCCAGTGAGACCTCCCACAGCACATGGGTTTAGGCTGGGGGCATTACTTGTCTCCCAGACCCGGAACATCATCATCCTCACAAGAAAAGTGCTCGCCATGCAGCCATGTTGTCCTGAGATAGACAAACACTTGTCTTAGATATGTCTTTTAGTTATTAGTTTAATTTTAGTGCCCTCTTAAAAAGAATTCTGATGCTGTCCTCCCCTTGGTCAGAATATCCCAAGTTCAGCCGGTGTGACTCTGCTCTGTGTTCGCCCTAAGCCCTGCATTCAGGAATTCCTGTCCATGACCCAGGCAGCACCAGGGAATCTCTTAAATGACCTTTTAATTGTCACCATTTATGGGATGTGTATAGATAATTGAATTGCGAAGTAATTGTTCTATTGAAAACATCCTTACTGAAAGAAGGTAAAGAACAGAAACTCTAGGTTTAGACATGCAGAAGACAAATAACAGACAGTACGGGATGATTGGTTCATTCGGCACCCGCCAGCTGTGCCCCCACTGTGTTGGGTGCTCCCAGACCCACACCTCCCCAGGGTCCCTGCCTGGGAGGGAGGCCAGGAGAGAGCTGGAGTGTGGGCAGCTGCCCACCCAGGGCCGGGGGTGCTGGAGCATGGCTGGAACACAGAGTGGAGAGGGACAGGGGCCACTGTGAGGAAGTGGGAGCTCCCTAGGGTCATGAGGGCATCTGAGGTGCAATTGGGAACCTGGGCTGCATGGAACCAGGCTGAGGGTGAGGGCAGAGGTGGAGCCACAGAGCAGGCATGGGGGCCCGGGTTCCAGGACATCCTGAAGACTCCTCAGTGGGTCTGTGGGGGGTGGAAGGTGGAGCCGGGGCTCTGGGGTCTGGGCTGAGGAGCCATGTAGGCCCCAAGGGGCAAGCAGGGCCTCAGCGTTAGCCTGGGCCAGAGCCACCTCCTGCTGAGGAAATGGAAATGCTAGTGTGGAGAGAGAGGAGAGAGTGGGGAGAGCTGGCCTCTGGTCCATGAGTCCTGCTGACGCCACACAGGTGGGCAGCTTGCGGCTTCCCTCCCCGCCTGCTGTGGGCTTCACTGTCACTATTCCTGAAGTCAGAGCGGGTCTTGTGCCTGAGCTCTGAGAAATCATCTTCTACCTGAGAGTTGTAAAGAGAACAGCCTGGGCTTGGGGATAAACTAGCCCGTGTCTCCACTGTTCTGCATGGAACGGTGGAGTCTGGCTCTGGGTCCAGCCGCTGATTTCTGACTCAGTGAAGCTATTAGGTCTCCATGCTCCACACTGGGAGACCTGCCCGGTGGGCCTGAGTATCGAGCCAGGCTGTGCACAGCCTTTGTATGGCATCAGGTCGGAAGCTGAGCAAAAGGCAGCTCTGCAAGCTTGGCCACCAGCAGCACCCAGATGAGGTGCTGGTGAGCAGACTGGGCCTTGGAACCAGGGTCTCCAAGAACACAGGGAGGGTGGGCACTCAGGGTCAGTGTGACCAGCGTGCTTGTACCCTGGGCACCCCATGGAGGCCCTGAGACATGCTGGATGGCCCTGTCCCTTAGCCTGGGGCTGGCCAGGGTGCCTGTGCCAGGTGTTATGAGAGATTACACAAACGTGACAGCAAAGTGAAGTGTTGATGCTCCCATAAAAACGGTGAAATGTCATTCTGCTTGGGTTTCTTTTTCCTTCTTTTGAGGAATGGTGGGCCTCAGGAGGTTGGGTTGCAGTTTAGGACTGAAAACTCACAGGGTCCTGGGCCTCAGAGCTGTGCTGACCCTCACCATCGGGCCAGCACTCCAGCCCTTCCATGCCCGGCCCAGTGGAGTATCAGCCAAATGCTGGGGTGTGACCGGGAGAAGCCTTCCTGCCAACCTAACCGTGTCCCCTTGGTGTGCCCAGGTCTGGACGCCAGTCCCCCAGCCAGCACTCACGAGCTCACCATTCCCAATGATGTGAGTATGCCCCTGCACCCCCTGTCCATGTGCAGAAGTGCCAGGTGTGGGCAGCTGTTAGCTCTGCCACCCTTGGGCAGAGGGACCCCTGCTCAGTGATGGCCTTACCACCCAACCGTACTGTTTCATCTCTTTCCTCCCTCCTTTCCCATTTAAGTGTGTTTAATGCTCACAAAAGGCATGTTATTTTACATCCCTAAGATATTAAACAAGAAAGGGGGCCAACAGGAGTTCAGGGTTTAATCAAAAGTCAGTTGAGAATTGGACTGGAAAGACATTTCCCCAGTTCAGGGTCAAACCTTAAGGAACAGGGTGGCCAGGAATTCTCTGGAGTGGACCCACCCACAGTACCTGCCCCTGGTCCCTGGCACCTGTGGAGGCTTGGGAGTCTCCCTGAGTTGGCTCCAACAAGCCTGAAGTTGGTTGGGTGTCACAGATCTGGATTCCCATATCTAGTGCCTGTAAGCATGTTCACACCTGAGGGTGTAGCCTTACGAGCTTTTCCCAACATGCCAATTCCTCCCCAGACTAAGCAGGGGTCTGGTGGAGAGGGGTCTCTGTATCCTTGGACTACCCCAAACTTAGAGACCATGGAGGGTGTCCTTGAGGGGTAGCTGCCAGAGCAGCAGGGAGAGTCCCTGTATGGGCTGTGGTGATGTCTGTACCTCTTCTGGGTCAAATGTCCAGGGGCCTTCTCTGCCCTAGAGCTGTGGAATTCAAGAACCCTCACTGTTCCAACTCTTGCACCTCCCAGGCAAGAAATCCAAGCCCTACCTCTTCCCTTCATGGAAGCTAACAACCAGAAGCACAGATTTGGGAGTTCAGGGAGATCACCCATCCTGAATGTGGAAGCTGGACAGTGAGGAGGAGAAGAGGCAGAAGAGAGCAGAGGCATCAGAGGACAGGACCACGAGGCCATCTGGCCAATGCCACTAACCCTCCTGAAGGGCTGTCTCTGGCAATGTCTGCTCCAGGCCACCTCTGTAGGGCCGTTCTTCAGGCACAATCTGCCCATCTGTCCAGAGCCACTTGGACACTCAGGCTCAAGCAGCTTTGTTGCCAGCCTTTTGGTTCCCACGAGCATTTCTGAGGCTGGGCCAACTTGAAGAGCAGCAGCACAGAGCCACCTCCCCAGGCAGGGGTCACCGCTGCTGCCCCCACATTCTTGGAGAGAGGGATTTTGGTTTCTTGCACCCCCCACTGTGATGGTCCCTTGAACGTGTGGATTCTTGTCACCCTTGAGTCTTTTCACCCAGGTGACAAAGCCAGTGGACCTTCTACCCTGTAGGGTCTTTCCTCGTTAGCCGGTCACCTGAATCATACTGTCTCACCAGCACTGGATGCAGATGCTCTCAGCCAAGCTTTTGTCTTAACACTGAAATGAACTTAAACCAAGAGGATGAGGCATCTTGTGGAGAGCTGGTACTTCTGTTTCCTGTGCCCTCCTTCAGCCAGACAAATGCAGTTTTCCCAGTTCTTGGCTTCCCACTTCCCATCCTCCTGGAAGTCTTTCTAGGGAAGGGAGACCTGCCCTTCAGAAGGAAGGTGGCTTCCCTTCCCTGTGTGCCTTTGGGGATACCCTCCTGTGCTGCTGCGTGGCAGAGCCATCGGCAGCACTGTCAGGGGCTTTCTCCTGCTCACCCCGGGCCTTGGTGTTAGGGCTGCAGGTGCAGGTGCGTTTGCACCAGAGCTGGTGTTCGGCACGTGGTGGCTGCTCGCCGCCTTCTTGGAGAAAAGAGAGAAAATGTGCATTTGTGCTGACGCTCACCTGCCATCTTATCCACGTCTGTCTCTTGGCCACAGTTGGATCGTGCCAGCATCCACAGGTCACTCCAGCTTGCCTACAGGAAGGCACTTGGTTGCAAGAATGTCAGACTCACACTCCACAGCACAGCTGCTGGGAACCTAGGCCTTTGGGTCCATTTCTGACAGTCACCATGGGCCTCCCTCATGGCACACTTCTGTGCTTGCTCTTGGACACGTCATCTCTGGTGCCCATGGTCACCTGCCTGCTGGGGCCTGGCCCCTCCCACGTCCTGAGCTGCAGAAGCCCCAGGGCCTTCTGGGAGAAGGAATCGGGGCTGTCACACAGTGGGCTCCAGGGGCAGAGAGGGGAGCGTAGGTGTTGCTGCCATTCCTGTGTGATTCAGCTCTGATGCCTGGATGGAGCCTTGGTGTGGGTGGAGCCCAGAGGCACAGTCAGGAGAGAGGCTGCCGGCAGCTCTGGCTTTTCTAGAGCAGAGGTCTCTAGATGTTTATAAAGACTGATGGCTTTATGGTCTAGTGAGTGGCTATCTGGTCATAACGTAGGTGACTAGCAGAGATGGCATGAGGCACGGTGGGTCTCCTTGGGGACAGGAGCTAGCTTACAGGGCACCTGTGCTCCCCGGGCTGAGAGGCAGCTCACCACGCAGGCTCAGTGTCGTCCACCTTTGGAAACAGATTTTCCCTGGAAATGGATTTTTTTTCTCCATGCCATCTCATGGCCCGTCTTGACGTAAGAACAAAAGAACAGAACATGTTTCTGACACTGGGTTCACCACGGGTCTGACATCCCAACCAGCAGCCTCAAGAGGAGGTGGCAGCAGAAACAGGCTCGGGGCGGTGTCCCCTCTGGGCCCTCAGTGCTGGGCAAGCTCCAGCCTGGCTCTCGCGGCCGCATGTCTGGCCACTCTCTTTCCTGTCCTCGCTCCCAAGCTCTCACTGCTGGCCTGTGCGAACTCCACGGGATTCTATTCTGTCTGAAGGTGAGAATCAAGTGTTGCTGCCTGACTCCTCTGCGGTCTTCTCTGGGCCAATGCCCACACAGCAGGGCCTGGGGAGGGCCCACACAGGGCAGCTGTGGCCACGGAGGAGGCCTTGACCCAGGACTGCTTCAGGGAGGCCTTGTTCGTGGTGACCCCCTCCGCCGGACGCCACTGCATCCCCCTTTAAACAGAGCTTGCAAAATGAGAGTGAAAGGAAACGTTTGACACGTCCTCAGAATTTTGTCTGAGTTCATCTAAAGATGGTTTTAGGCAGTAGTGGGTTTTGCTGTGGCTTCAATCACATATTTCTTCAACAAGCTTGGGCCACTTCCACGCTGGCAGAACCATCCTCAGCCTAAGGATGCAGCCAGAAAGGAGCTGAAGTGGCCTCAGCCAGCACTGGCAGTGGGCCCCACGCAGCACCCGCCAGCCCAGCTTGGGGTCTCCACTGACCAGGGCCACCACGGGAACCAGTGTGAAGTGCCGAGGCCCAGACTGCACCCTCTTGGCCCACAGGCCTCCTCCAGGAGGGCGCTAAGCAGAAGCAGCTCCGGGCTGGCAGGCAGAGGTGGGGCCCTTAGTCCCCCTCTCCCTGACACGGGTCCTGGATCAGGTGATAGCCTGCAGCCACGAGGCCGGCTGTGCCTCTTCCCTGGGGAGCACTGCGCCCAGGGCTCGGGCTGGAGACCAAGGCTGGCAGCTGACACGCCACCCACGTGCTCCTGGGGCCATCTCAGATTCTTCTCTAAGACATTCCCTCCATCCTCTCTTTCTAGCTAATAGGCTGCATAATCGGACGTCAAGGGACCAAAATCAATGAAATTCGGCAGATGTCTGGAGCTCAGATCAAAATTGCCAATGCCACTGAAGGGTCGTCCGAGCGTCAGATCACCATCACGGGGACCCCGGCCAACATCAGCCTTGCCCAGTATCTCATCAACGCCAGGTGAGCCACAGGCCTCCACAAGGACGCCCCACAGGGACGCTGCCACTTCTCAACTGACAGCGTGGGGGGGATCCCAGGCTCCGCACTGCCCCACCCCTGTACCCTCCCCCCAGCTGGATGCTGGGAGTCTCCAAATGGACACTCCACCCTCACCCTGACCCACACTTTCTTCATGTCCAGTGAAGAGCAGGAATCGGACGGTGAGAGTGTCCCCAGGAGTGCAGGTGGCCCTTGTGGCCCTGGACAAGTGCCTGGACGTTGCCCTGTGGGCGGCAAGCCCTGGAAAGCCAGTGTTCATGTGCACAGAGCTGTCCAGAAGGTGTCTGCTCTCTGTCCTCATTCTTCATCCTCAGAGGAAAGTGCAGGGTCCGGGCAGGAGAGAGCTCCACAGGGCCCCTTCCTTCCCTTTGTCCTGTGCAAGTGTGATCCGGAGCCACAGCGCCCATGTGGCCACACGGGCTGTGACCCTGGCTCCACCAGCTCACGCCTGCTGGTGCAAGGAACACACTGGCCCACTTCCTGAGGACATCTTCCTGCCAGAGCACCACGCGGCCTGTGGGAGGGGGCTGGACGGGGCCTCCGAGTGGACACGGCCGTGTGGTGTGTGACTCCCTGTCCCCATCCTGAGCCCCTCCCATGGGGCCCTGCCCGGCTCCCAGCAGCCGAGCAAGTGGGTGAGGGGTTGTGTGGAGACAAAGACACGCCTGGCTTTGCCCACCTGACCTCCCACAGGGCTTGTGCCAGTGTCCCGAGCCAGTGTGGCTCTCTCTCCACCCCTGCGGCTGCCCTGCCTACAGGACTGGGGCCCAGGCAGAGCCCGTTGTTGGCCAACCTGGAGCCCTATCCTCTAGTCTGGGGATAGGGCCTGCTCCACGCCTGCCCGATAGCATCGTGTCAGCCCACTGGAATTGTGCTGGGGTGGGGCTTTTGCCCACGTCACGTGTATTCCTGTGACAGCCAGCGTGAGAGTGGGGCTCAGGAGGCTGGCAGTGCCTGTGGGGCAGACCCAGGGCTCTGTGCTCCAGCACCTGAAGGACTTGAGCGCCCAGGCAGGCCTGACTGACAGATCTGCGTGGCGACAGGCCCTGCTCAGCTCCAGCCACTAAAGAGTGGGCTGAGGCACACAGTGACAGTGGGTCGGCCACAGCCGTGAGGGGGCCAGGGAGCCGCCGTCCCTGTCCTGATCCATTTGTGACGGTGTAGTGACCTGTCCCCCTCCGTGTCTTGTCTGTTGCAGGCTGACGTCCGAGGTCACCGGGATGGGCGCGCTCTAATCCGGCCCAGCTTCCTCTGCGCCGCGACAGCCGCATCACCGCCCGCGTGAGCCCACAGGCCGGCTCGCACACTGTACAGACCACCCGCCCTTCCTGCAGATTCAGAGGGTCCTTGCGCGCAGAAAGGGTGTGTGCCACGACGCACGCGCACACTTGCAGCGAGGCAGATCCGTTCTCCGCGAGCTCCAGGCCCCGCCCCCACCGCCTCTGTAAATGCTCACTTAGGCCCCGCTCTGTCCGTGCGTCGCATGCAGCCTCAGTTACTTTAAATGCTTCGGGTGTTCCCACGAGACACTTAGATGTGTTGTTACTCCGTGTCAGTGTACCTGTCTGTGCTAGGAGTCGGTTTGGCGTTTTGACAGCACATCTGCACACCATCCCCTCCCTCCCAGCTAGACCGGTTGCTCTGAAACCCCTCCTCTCCCACGTGGCCCTGTCTGCTGACCCGGTTTCCCCCCAGAGCCCGTGTAGTCTGGGATCACGTTTGCACCTCAGGGCGTGTGCTGGGATCGGGGCTGCCTTTCCTGCAAGCCGTGGGGAGTGTCAAGAGGGGCTCAGAGGAGGCCGGGCCTTGGCCTGGGTGCAGTGGTGGAGGGCGCTAGGCCCTAACTTCGCTGAGGTGTCATGTGCAGGGAAGGGCCTGCGCCAGGTGTGTCTGGGGAGGGCGGGAAGCAGGGACGCACCAGGAAGCCCCCTGCGACCCTCGGAGCTCAATAAATGTCATGGCCCCCACTGGCTCTGGCTCTCATCTCTGCCCCATCCAGTGCTCAACCCCCACGTACATGCGCCCCCACGAGACCAGGCTGCTGCTCACAGGAGCTGGGTTCTTTCTCTCACACACTCAGATTCCATTCCCTTTTCCCCAGCTTGCAGAAGCTTCTTTTATTTTTAGTTAGGCAAAACTACTTAAAATGGTAGAAATGAAAGCTCAGTTCTTGCCCAGACACCAAAGTGCCAGTCCCCGATGTGTGAGACCTGCCTCCCTGCTGCAGCTGTGGGTGCCTTGGCCGCGGCCTTCCCAGCGTGGAGTGTGGCCACACCCACCTGCTGAGGCAACCGGCCTCTGGGCCCAGCAGAGTCTGGTCTGGTCACCTTCACTGCCCTGACTATGCCTCGCTCCAGGCAGAAGCCCTGACTGCAGCTCGAGCCCACTTTGGCAGCCCCCCACACTCCCCCCAGGTGACAACGGTTGGTGACAAAGGACCTGGCAAGGGGGCAGTGCTGAGCCCAGCCGTCTAGGTAGGGGGGTGTGGTGCTGGGCTGCGTGGGGCCCTCGGAGGCTCCTGCTGCAGTTCTGCAGGCTCCGACACCACCTCCCCGCCTGGGACCCCCCCAGGCGCTGCACAGGGACCTGGGCCTGGAGCACCTGCACTGACCCCTCCCTCTGGAGTTGCCTCTTGGGGGTCAGCAGCCCCAGGAGGACGGCCTGTCCCAGGCTCGGGGCTGGACACAGCATCCGCGTGGCTGGGCCCCTTCCTGTCTGCCCAGGCCTGCCACACACACTCGCCCTGCGCACCCCGCCCGGCCCTGACACAGCCGCCCGGACACCTGGAGGCCCCCAGCCCCGTGACACACTGCGCACAGCAGGAATGGGCCAGGCAGGACGCCCAGCGCACTGCGCGGCTGCCAAGGGACACAGTTCACTCCCACGGGATGTGGAGACAGAACCCAGGAGGCAGAGGGACACGGAAGGCACAAGCAAACGTGTCAGTAGGGGCATCAGGTGGCCGGTCAAAGGGACAGGTGTCCTGGAAATGAAACACCACGTGAGGAGGGGAGGGGAAGGGCCCCTAGGTGGTGCAGGTGGACAGGACGGGGGGAGGGGAGGGAGCCTGCCAGCCACGGTGGGGGCTGCAGGGAACTCTGGGGACGGGTCGGGTGAGGCAAGGCAGTGACAGCATGGTGGCCACTGGCTCCACCGAGGTGCTGAGGACCGGCTGGTGGTCAGACACAGGCAGGGTGGGTGGGGGCATCGGGTTCTGGGGGCATCTGGAAGGAGGACTGACAGGACTCGCTGAGGAACTGGTGTGGTGGGAAAGAGAGAGGTGGATGAGGCCTGCTTCAAGGGCCGGACGCAGAGACTCGCCCTCCAGAGACCCGGGCCTGGGCAGGCGGAGGGGGACGTGAGGCAGGGGCTGGGCAGGTTGGGTTCAGCCAGGCCCGCGCTGGGGTGGCTCCTGACACCGGGTCTGTGGGAATTCCGGGTCTCAGCGTCTGACGGTGATAGAGTGTCTGCTGTGTGCCTGGCGTGGTGCCTGTCTGCCCTCTAGTGGCGATTCTGCATTCTCGCTAACAGCGTCAACACTCGCCTCATACCCTTGCCAGTCAGTGATTCCAATCTGCACTTTCCCGTGAATCCAGTAAACCAGCCACGTCCACTGCGGTCCCCTGAGACCCCAACCTTAGCCGCTTTATCTGCAGCCTCTCGGGCTTGCATGGGAGAGATGGGGCGGGCACCCAGCCACGCGGCACGTCTGGGTGTGGAACCATGTCTGGCGGTCTCTATAAGCTCGTGGTGGTGTCTCCGACCAGCCCAGGTGCTGGGGCCACAGGCCAAGCTCTACCACTCACGGGAGTGACCCTGAGTCCCACGAGGTCCCTGTGCCTTGTGCTTCCCAGGGCACAGAGGTGGGGTCTAGCCCCACTGGCTGGTTCCAGTGGTATTAGATGCTCGCAGAGTGGAAACTGATCCGATATCCTTGTGTATTCAGTGTGCACCCTGGGCTTTGTCTCTCTGGGACACCCCCGTGTCAGGAGGGCCCGTGTCTGAGTCTGCTCCTGCTGCCATAACAGAATGCCTGGGACTGCATAATTCTTAGACAGAAATGCGTCGCTTGCAGTTCCTGGGGCTAGAAGTCCAAGATAGCCATTCTCTGCTTCCAAGGGGGCCTTATCCCTGTGTCCTCATGTGGCCCGAAAAGCAGAAGGGCAAATGGTTGAGAGCATGCCCATGCACCCATGTGGGGGAGCCCTCAAGGCCTGACCCCCTCCCTCAAGGCCCACTTCTGGCTGCTGTCACGTTGGGGATTGAGTTTAAACGTGAACTTTGCAGGGAAACAGCAGGCAGGCCACACAGCAGCTTGCAGCTATGGTGGACAGATCACAGAGGCCCTGGCCCTTGTGGCACTCACACCTTTGGGGTCCCCCCCCCCCGGAGTGTGGGCAGGACTTGTGACTTCTATAGGATGTGGCAGCAATGACAGGCTGTCACTCCTGTGCGATATTGCAGGAGCCTCTGTCTTGCCAGCCGGCTCACTCCAGTCCTCCTGCTAGCGCAGACCAGGCAAGCGGCCACACTATGGGCTGCCTGTGTGCTGGCCATGTGGGCCCTCTGTCATGCAGCTGCCTCCCTGAGCAAACCCAGGCAAACTCCCGAGGCTCTCAGTCCTACAGTGCGAGGAAGTGAATTGCGCCAACAACCCCCATGAGCTCAGAAGTGGGCCCGGCCCCGGTGTAGCCTCCATGTGAGAACACAGCCACGGATGCCTCGATTGCAGCCTGGGGAGACCCCACAGCAGAGACACCCACTAGGCTGTGCCCAGCTCCTGACCCAGAAATGGTAACTAATAAATGTGCATCGCTTCGTGCTGCCACACTACAGTCACTTGTTAGGCCTCGTGGAACCCTGATTCAGTGGCCTATACTTTCCTGCTTTTGCCTTAAGTAAGCGCACGGGCTCTGTCCAGCTCAGCCAGGGCCCTGGGGGCCGGCAAGCTTCCCACGCAGGCTGGGCCCACGGAGGGGGGATGAGTTCTGACGGACCAGCCCTGCACACGCCCACCCAGCCCCACCCCTGCCCGCGCTCTTCCCGAACACCCTCCTCTCAGGCGGGGAGGGGAAGAGCCCTCCTCTCAGGGCAGGGGCCGGGCCAGACTCTGCCTGCAGCAGAACTGGGTTAGGGGATCTCGTTAAAGTAAACAGGGCAGATTTGTGAATTCAAATGTTGGTATGAATGTAGATATTTATTTAAAATGAGAATATAAAACACAGAAAATTCTGTCTTCTAAAATGCACACAAAAACCACAGCTTCACAAAATCCAGGAAAATATTTTCAATTAACTATCATGCCTCTCATTCTTTTGCTCCCATTTTTAACCTCATACTCTTTAATCACCCTTCATATGACAATAATAGTTTCTACAAAGAGAAAGAATTTACTCTTTCCAATAGCATGGTTGGCCATAATTAGATTTTTATTATTAAAACTTCAGAAAAGATTCTTTTGGATAAACAACTCATCATGGACAATGTCATGTAAACATTTATTTGTGAAATTTGGGGTAACATATTCATCTCTCTCTTCCTCCTAACAAATCAGTACTTTTGGTGTGATGGTTCTCTTTTTGCTGTCAGAATAATTTTGTCTGATTTCACCACTTTATCGCTTTTATTGCATATTCTATTGTTTATCTGCATATGCTCTCAGGCATCTAATAAAATAAATTTGAAGAAGAGAAAAGAAGGCATCTTTCATGTATTCCAAGTCAAGAGATGGCAATTTATCACTGGTTATATTGAAGCATTCCAAAATATTTTTCTCAGTAGTAGTTAAAATAATACATTTGAATTTGCATTTAACTTTTTGAATAATGTGTTTCTCCTTTGTTCAAGTTTCTCTTCAAAGAGTCTTTGAACAGGTATGTTAGAGTTGATACATAGTCTGCCACGTTGCAAGGCTCCAGTGGCTGCACAGTGGCTCTCTGAAGAAAAGCCACGTGGAACGGGTGATGCTCTAGCTGCAGCTCAAACCGAGAAGACAGCAGACTTCCACAGGCACCGTGGAGTCAGCCACGCGGGCGTGGGAACCGCCTTCCTTGCAGACGGGGCCACGGTGTGTGCGTCCCTCACCCTCAGCTCTCCCCGCCCTCGCTGTCCTGCAGATGTCGCCCCTGAAGACTGTGTTAAGCAAAGCCGGTCTTGGGGGGTCGTCAGGTGGATAAAACCACCCAAGACTCAGAACACATGTCCTGCTGCCACGCGATGATACAAGCGCACACGTGAGACAATCACCACATAAAGGTAATAATATAAAGTGCACCAGAAAGACCATGCCCGAACCACGCTCCTGTCCACCTTCCCTCAATCCCCACGACGCAAAATCCATGGTAATGATATGACACTAAATCAGCTTCATCTAAATTCAGATAATTACAAAAACATATTCTCACACACACAGGCCCTGCACGTAACAATCTTCTTCAGAACAAAATGAACGAAACTCACTCATCCATGACGCAACAAACACACACAGAAACACAACAAAACACACCGGTAGAAATCTGAAGTAGAGTCTCGAATATACGCACTGATGACATAAGACACACTAGGATACACTAGGGAAACCCATATACGCACCCAGCTCTTCAAGTAAATAGCCAAGAGGAAATGGCTGGGTCAGATTGATACGGGTAAGGGGACTTTTAAGAACTTGGTAATCGTTTCTCGAAGGTTGCAATGCTAGGGTCTGCACAGGTAAGATAGTAGCCAGTCACTCCACAGCCTCCTCAGCACGGAATTGACCAGCTTCTACCATTTACCCCAGTGTGTGCGGCGTGCCTCATATACAGTAAAAAATATTGCTTTCTTTCTTGACTAAAAAAGTGTATAACAATCTAACTAATGACCTATCATACCATCAGAACATTGCTGAAGGATTGTCAAAATCTAATTTGCCATTAAAACAAAATAAAATCAAATAATATAATAGAATTAAAAATTAATAAATCTAAGACAA